CACACACACACACACACACACACACACACACACACACACACACACACACACACACACATACACACACACACCCACACCCACACAAGCAAACAAAGTAAACAAGCTCACAATTTTGAACAGGCAAACGGAGGGGCGAAATGCGGAATGAGGAGGTTGGCAATACGTACCTGCAAGTGGTATGAACAACCAGGTGGACACACAGTGCGCACAACAACAGACGCAAGACAAATAACAGGCACACACAGCACATTGAAGCACACCATCATGAGATCACCAATCACGACCCCTTAAAATGCAGACGACATGTGCAAGTAAAAAAAAAAAAAAAAAAAGTTTGAAAAACCTTTGCAAAGTTCACAGCGTCAGAAATGCGATGTTTGCAAAGTTCACAAATTCAAAGTTCTAGAATTGCAAACAAAACTACCCAGTTTCAAAGTTTGCAGGAGTGAGCTCTGATGCTCTCAACTCCTCCCCGTTGTCTCCTTCCTCTTCCTCCCAGAATTGCCCCTCGCTATCCTCTGAACTCTCAACCGTGTCGTCCTGTCTCCTTCACCGTGTTCCATGGACTCCGCCGCACTCCCACTTGTATCCTCATCGTCCGACAAGGAAGATGAGGATGCCGACGACGGTGCTGCTGCTGCCTCGTTGCCTGCGGCTGCTGCCTCATTGTCATCTGTTGTTGCCGCATCATCGCCGCTTTTGTTATCGTCGATGACATTGCTGCACGCCTTTTTCTTCCTTCCTTTTCTGGCTGTTGCACTTCTCGCTACTGCTGCTGCTGCAGCTGCCTTTGCAGCCTTCACTTTCGCTTTCTGGGCTTTCCTTTCTCCCAGCTCCGCGTTTGAGGGTCGGCCCGTCTTGTGTTTTGGCTCTCCGTCCGCACGTCTCCCCTTCGCCACCGCAACCACCTCCTCCACGTCCTCGCGTTGCGCTCTCTTTTTTCAACGTTTTCTGCTGGCAGACGCTTCCCCTGCACCGTGCAACCATGTTCCGGCAGCTCCGGCCTTCAACAACTGTGCCCGTTCCTCTTTCGTGTACAACACTGACGGTAAGGGTTGTGAATGGCCTGATTTCCTCCGCAGCTCGCGTTCCCTGTAGCGACCGGGTTTTGTGCACTCGTGCTTGTCCTTTTCCCTCAAGGCCATGAGGCCTTTGTCCTCCGCCTCACACTCTTGGTCATCCCACTCGTCATTTCGCAGCCAAGTTCGCATAAGTGGCTCGTCCCCATCCTCCTCTTCCACCGCCACGTCATCGAGCGTGTCTGCTGTGTCATCGTCATTGGACAGCGCCGTCGCCACCCACGTGTTGTACCACTCCTCAACTTCCGCCTCCACCCGTTGGTCATCCTCCCAAGGGATGTAACTCCAGATCAATTGGGTGCTCTAGTTGTTGAACACCAGCTTTGACAGTCTCTCCGGCATGAGTTTCGTGCGCCGTCTTCCAAAAATGAGCTCATGCAAGCTCCAATTCCGCTCACATGCAGCAGACGAGCTTGCTTGGCCAAGCAATTTGATGGCTTGCGGCTGTAGAAGGTCCAACTTTCCCCCAAATGCTTCCCACCATAAGGCCGCCGGTTTCACACGCGCCGCCTCCGCTGCCTTTCGTGTGTTGAATGACCCACGTAGTTTGGTCCAGTCATCAACTTGCCGGCTCAGTTCATCGAGGGTGGGTTTATCTTTCGGCGCCCACGAGTACAACAAAATGTTGAACCCCGCCCGAACCTCCCGATCTCGCTCTGCCAATGCACTGTGTCGGAACTTCGGGTCAAGGAAGGCAGCCGCGCAGTGCAGCTCGCTCGTCATGGACGACCACCGATGCATTAGAATGTCCTCAATGTCGGCCTTCTCACCCGGGGTGACACAGTCGAGGCCACGCATTCTCTCGATGAGCGCATCCATCTTGAAGTAGACCTTCGACATTGTTGCGCCTGGCCCGTTGACCAGGCGCAACAGCTCCACAACAGGAAACTTCACTGCGAGGGCATTGTCCACCTTGTCCCAAAACCCGTCCCTTCCTAGCACGATGGAGGTGACCTTACGGAAAGCGGCGAGCTGATCCGCCCTCACCATCTTGTCCACCCACACCGTGTCGCAGACGCATTTCTCCAGTGCATTCCTCCCTCTCTTCAACGAAGCCAGCATGCCGTGACTTGTGGCAAATCGCGTGACCGCCGGCCGCTTCAACTTCGAATTCGACGAAAATTTATCGAACAAAGCCCTCGCCTTATCCACATTCGTGAAGAATTTGCCAACTACATTGTCGGCGTCGATGACCACCGCCAGCCAACCGAGCTGCTTGTACATGTTCTCGAGTGCGAAATCGAGGGCATGTGCAGTGCAACCGACACAAAAAATCTGAGGGTAAGCGGCCTCCACCATCTTACCCGCCTTCACACACACTCTTGTGTTGTCCATGACAACGTCAACCACTGCGTTTGGCCCGATCTCCTTGATCACTCCATCAAGGATCTTGAAATACGCCACCGAGTCTTTCTCTTTCCCCTCCATGCACACTGATTTTCAAAAGATAGTCCCTATCGGGGACGACACCATCACATTCAGATGGGGGTGGTTGCATCTATCAGACCAACCGTCCATCTGAAGCATGCAGCCTGTGACCTGCCACTTCGTGGTCATGGCGTTGACGTCTGCTCTCGTCCTTCCAAACGCACCGTCCAACCTCCTCGTTCGTGCCTCATCCTTGTGGTATGGCAACCATGATGGATGTGCCTTCTTCACCGCGTCGATTAACTCGAGGAAGTACTCATTGTCAACGAGACTGAAGGGTTGGTTTGTGCAGAACAGGAAGTTATCGAGGAAGCGGCTTGTGTGTTCATTACGAGTAATGATGTTGTCCACATCCTTGATAAGTGTCGGCCTTTGGGGCGCTGCACGGCCAGACTCCCCAGAAGTCGCCACCCGCAATGGTACACCGCCAGCATCAGCCGCTCCACTACCTGCACCCATCGCTCCTATGACCAGACTGCTCGCAGATGGCAGGTTGCTCATCGGTGTAGAACTCTTCCCCCCCCTGTCAATGATCTTTGCGAGGTTCTTCCTCATGTGAATCCCCTCCTACCTTCTCGCCCTCTCCTCCACGGACAACGGTCTAGTCAGGAGGTCCAGGCTGCACTTCTTCAGGAAGTGGGTTCTCAGATTCGACGCCATCCCGTCGAATCGGGTCTCGCAGTACTTGCGAATCCAGTGCTTGGACCCCTTTCCTGGGTTCCTCCCTGCGGGACCATCGTCCGTGAAGTGTTGCTTCAAGTCCTCGATCAGCTGCTTCGGATGAAAGGGAGCCATTGCCGCTGTCACCTGTATCGAGGGGAAGGCCACAACGTCAAATGCAGGTCAGCCCCTCGTCAAATCATTCCCCTTGCCCCCCCTCCCCCCTCTCCCGTCTAATCCCCCTCGACTGTGCAACATCGCAGTGGGAATACCATGGAACAAAAAAAAAAAAAAAAAAGATGAGAAAATCAGATTGCGGAAACAGCAATCCGGAAGGAGGGGGGGGGGAATTGCAAATGCCCACTAATCCTCCCCTGTTGTGCAACGTTCAAGCAGGCATAAAAATGGAAAAAAAAAAAAAAAAAAAAAAAAACGGTGGAAGGAGGAGGGAGAAAGGAGGATGGAGAAAGGAGGAAGAAAGGGAGGAAGGAGAAACGGAGGAAGGAGGAGGGAAAAATGGACGAACGATAAGTGGGAGAAGAGCAGGGAGAGATGGATGAAGGAGGAGAGAGAGGGAGCAAGGAGGAGGGAGAGATGGACGAAGAAGAAGGAGGAGAGAGAAAGGGGGGAAGGAGGAGGAGAGATGGACAAAGAAGGAGGAGAGAGAGAGGGAAGAAGGAGAAGGGAGAGATGGATGAAGAAGAAGGGAGAGAGGAGGAGAGAGAAATGAATAAAGGAGGAGGGAAAGATGGACGAACGATAAGTTGGAGAAGAGGAGGGAGAGATGGACGAAGAAGGAGGAGAGAGAAGGAGCAAGGAGGAGGGATAGATGGACGACGAAGGAGGAGGAGAGAGAAAGGGAGGAAGGAGGAGGGAAAGATGGACGAAGAAGGAGGAGAGAGAGAGGGAGGAAGGAGGAGGGAGAGATGGATGAAGAAAAAGGGAGAGAGGAGGGGAGAGGAAAGGAGGAAGGAGGAGGAAGGCCCTTTCACTACCGACAAAAAAAAAAAGAAAAAAAAAAAAGGTTGCGGAAACAGCAATCTGAAAGGAGGGGGGGGGAAATTGCAAATGGTGAGTGAGTGAGTAAGGTGGACGCAAACAACTGTGTACAGGCCGCTATGGGCAAGACAAAGTGATGGAACAGGAAAACCAAACACGGAGAGATGAAGGAAAGAACAGAAAAGGAGAAGAAATAAACATCAAAAACATGAATTCAGAATAATAGCAGGATCAGACAAGACGATGAAGAAGTAAGATGAACGAAAGAGAAAGAGAACGTAAAGTAAAACACACAGAAAGCCATGAGGCATGTACGCATAACCACGACACTTGAAAATATATTAAAAATGCAAAACCGTGCCGAACTGGTGGAAAGCCCTACGATCGTTTCAACTACCAGATGCACGTAACATGACTACTCCTAGGAGATATATATACTCACGAAGAACCATCTACACGTCTCTTTTCGACAGACCCCATCGTACTCACACAACAATGCCTCAAGAGTAGATCAAAGACGGGAACTGAGAAGGGGTAACACCCAGAAGCGGATGAGTGAGGCAGTGGAGGGAAAACCATCCATACCACAAGAGACCCAGAAACCGTTACGTCAGAGAATGGGGGGCCGAAAATTTGGAAGTGAGGAAGAAACAGATAGGGAATAGGAATGATCATAGTGAGGACAGTACCAAGGAGAGGAGGCAACGGGGATAGTGCAGCCATGACCAAAAAAGCCCTGAGAACCATCATATCAGGAAGAGTGAGGAGGTGATTGGAAGATAAATATGGAAACTGGTAGGATTCAGAAGACCCAATGGACACAGACGGAAGAGCAAGAAGAACGCAACGTAGGTATCGTTAGACGCCCTTCGTAGAGACAGAGGAAGTGAAGCATCCGAACCCCGAACCTGTCTTATCAGATAGAGAGGCGGGAGTAGAAGCAAAGTTTGAAATTAGAAAAAAGGAGGAGGCGGTTGAAGAAAGGGGATCAGATGTTGACAGAAGAGGGAATAGAAAGGGGAGAAAGGTCAATGAACAATGACTTCCCGCGCAGATGTAGACCAGAATGTCGAATCCACCAACGCCCGAGCGGAGGGCCTAGCATGAAACCGTATCATGACTTACTGCATAGATCAATCGTAGCTGAGGAAGACTTCATATCGTTATGCAGAGCAGGAGCGAACGAAAGTAAGAGCAGCGTTGCAGCGATTCGTCCCCGTACTAAAGAAGGAAAGTGGTGCGGACCAAGGCGCGCCGGAGCAGACACTTCCTCAGTTAGAAATGAGAGGGCTAGAGATGGTAAGTGGAGTAATAAATACTGTAGGATGCGCCGCCACGATTTACACCAGAGGTACAGGTATCTGAAAACAGAGCGGTACACACCGGACCCGCCCAGTGAACTGATTCAACCTTGATCTCATACCAGAACTCGGTCCACTGGTACCAGGCCCTATCCTAACAGAGCATAGGGTGCAGACCTCGGGAAACCGGGTGCTAACCCCCCCCCCCCCCTTTCCAGCGAACTACACAACATTACCTGTCCTTATAACCAGAGTGACTGAATTTTTAGGAGTCTAAAAAGGAGAAAATTGAGACCCACTGGTTCCAGACCCTTCCCCGATTGCAAGAAAATTTTCCCAGATACTTAGTGAAGGAACGTAGGGGAAACTTTTTTAAACGCAGCTCCCTCCTCAAAACCAGCAAGTTGAGGCCCACTCCTCTATCTTCGGAGGAGTGGGCCAAAATCCGACTTAGGTGACTGAAAATAGCGCTTTTTTTCTGTTGCCTTGGACCATAAGAGTGAAAATCTTGAGTAGACACAAACCTAAGWGGATTGGGGGAAAAAATAAAGTTCTGATTTTTCATGGTAGCAATACATCTGACCGATGGGGAAGAGACCGACGACGAGATTAAACAGCCCAAAAACTCCCAAATGCCCGATCTGTCATCAATCCGGATCAAAGAAAGGGCATTGTCATAGCTCTGGATGAATCTATCATAAATAGCAAAGGCTTTATCAATACATCGGTCAGTCTTGCGAGCAAAGGACAGGAAGATCCCTACATCATCGATCAGACGAATGCCTGAAAGGAATTTGTTGTCGGAACCCAAAGACTTGATGAAATAAAACTCATTAAACGTAAAGCAAAGACAAGCCAAAGCTGGGCTGAAACTTTTTCCCATAGGAACACCAATTGTTTGTCTTGGAAAGGGAAACCACTTTTGGTAAAAGTATTTTCCAAATAAAAAACCACCAAGTTGAATAACAGAAGAAAATTAACCTTCACCCACCCCTTGCAAGGAGACTTCTTGGAAAGGGAAAAACCCCTGCCCGTCTTGCTTACAAACACGCCTTTGACACCTTTATCTCTGAAGAACTGGGATAATCATTTGACAGCTTGGATAATGGAAGAGTGCGGTAGTTTAGTAAACATCTCCTTAATGTCAAACGATGCAGATAACAAAAATGCATCAGAACTTTTCCTTGTGACTTCATTGATAGTTGATATCCTCCCCTTGAGCATAGATGTCGATTTGAGGTTGAAATGTAGGTCCAAAGGGAGAGCCCATAGCAGAGTGTTGATAGCTCGCCGTACTATACGACTCGATCGAACATTGGGTTCGGAATACGAAGGCAGGATAGGCCTCCACCTCGTGGTATCTTTATGTTTAGGAATCACATAGGAATACCCAATGCGTCCTTTGTTATTCCAGGCAGCAATCTTATCCAAGTGGTGGTTAATAAAATTCTCCTTACAATTCGACAGAATGACTGACTCAGTCCGATCATCAATCACATACCTGGGACTATCGATGAACAAACTTTTCATCGCGTTTGCGTAAACAACAGGGCAACAGACGTAAGTATCACCTAGGTTATGGTCGATAGGCATTCTAACAAGATTGTCCAGAGTATGGAGCCATTCCTCATCACCACCAGATAATCAGCTAGCTTCAATTGCGCCTCGAATATGACCAATGGAGACGGCCCTAGGAGGGATGCATATATTATTGGAATTGAGGAAAGATGCGGGTAGATTATGGAACTCATAAAATCGGAAAGAAATGTGATCATTGTCATTCCGAGGCAGTAAAGTCAAAATAGAGCAAGAGCAACAAGTATCGGAAGTCTTCGCAAAAAACCGATGGTTATGAATTATCTTACTTGTTACCGGTCCATACAACACAAAGCCGAAAAATGAGGAAATCCGCCAAAAGGGGAACATTAACCCGTTTCCTAATGCAAACTTTGGTAATTTCGGAAATAGAATGCTTATCGATGCAGAAATCATAACGAATTTTAACAACAATCCGCGAAGTGCATCCAAATCCGACCTGCGAAGAGAGAGCAGCACCTACTATTTTTTTCAGGTAGCTAGATTTGCGACCAGAGAAAAAACTTGAACAGTATTTTACAACTTGATCAGATTACCGATTTCAAAATTCTTAAGAAGGAACCTCGTCCAAGGAACGTGCAAAAGTGAGATGAGGACACACTTTCTCCTACTTATCCAATCAAAATGCCGACGAATGCAAGTCAGGTAAAAAACACCCTTCCTCAGCAGATCGTTTTTCAAAAATTTGAGAAGGGTAGAACGTCCATTGTGTAAGATCGTCGACCAACCAAAAAGTCTCACGACTCTACTCCAAGCATCTAAGAAAAAGGTGCCCCCAAAACTGACAATCGAAAGACAACAGATACGATTTACAAAACAGTCATGCAAGATCGGAATCAAAAATAATGAAGAAGGGAGGTTAAAGTTCAAAATAGCACTACCTGGAGAAAATGAGAAAGAGACCGGTCGTTGAAACGTCGAAGTCGATCTGTCAAAACCCTACGTCCTTTTCTTTTACAACCTTGTTTCCTCCGCGAAATCCAAGAGTTGAGCGTGGGATACCATCGAGAGATGAAACTTTCCTCCACATTCCTGAGCTCGGTGGAGGAGAGAAACGCGATTGGGATGGCAACATAGTTGTGAGCTCCTTTCTTGCCGAG